TTTTTTCCGTTCATATGCTAAGCCATCATAATTCGCAATCACTTTTTCTGTATCTTCCATGGGACGGTCAATGTATAATGGATATCTAAGACTGCTTCTGTGTTCTTCTAAACAAGAAGAATTTCTTAAACTTAAACAATTCTTTTTTATTGGGTACGGTTTCGCGAAATCTCGCTTAAAATATACCATCTTCGTAAAATGAAGATAAAGGCTTGAAATCGCCTACGCAAAGCGTGATGTAATCTAGTCTAATAATATATATTCTATGACAGCATGTATAAAAGAAGGAGAAGGAAAAGGGCGGATTCTGGCAGGAATTTGTACCAACTTCCTGGTGCAACAGCAAGTACAGTTCTGCTACGTCCCTTTTACGTCTTTGATCTAACAATCTGTTTTCAGCTTTTTCACCTCTGTTCATCTTGCTTTCTACTTGTGTCAATCCTACAACATCTGCACTGTGACGAAAAATGTCGTATAAACTTGTATATTACTAATTTTAAGACAAAGGAGCGTGAACGAATACACGCACAATCTCTTCAATCGACATGCGGTGAGATCGTCTCATAGAAGACTTTATTCTGCTGGAACCAGGCGCTGGCTTTTTTTGTACGCAAGAAAGCTGCATGTAGAGGCACAAAACTATCTTCTTTCTAAACTCCTTCTATAAAGACAGTCCTGCTACAAAAATATATTCAGGTTTAACAAGCAAAATACAAAGAGTCATAATATTTTGTACTAAAGCTACTGAACACAACCAAAACAAACGAAAAGTATAATTCACAACAGAATGCGTTTACATATACACCAGTTTTATAGCAAGAAACGGTAGTGGAATAGTAATGCGATGCCATGGCAACATCAACAATTAAGCATGATTGAATCTTCAGAAAGTAAACTTCTGCTAATCACGATCGCGAGGACTATTCGAACGCGAACGAGTAGCGCTTCTGGATTTGGATTTGCGTTCCTCCGATCTAGCTCTTTCAGGAGATGCATCTTTACCATTAGGTGATGCAGATCGACGAGCACCTCTTGGACTAGCGCTGCGACTGCGGCTGCGAGGCTGAAAGAAAGAATTCCGTGGATGTACAAGCTACTCATGAATTTACAACTAGATTTGTAAACATAGTATAAACTCCATGATTTGATATCTACGGATGATAAACATAGAAACTTTCATGAACCTCATAAACAAGAAAAAAACACTTTGCATACTTCGCTCAACAAACTCTATAGAAGTTTAAAAACTAGAATCAACTGAAAAAAACTTGCACAAACAAAAATCAAATTTCCACTCACCGACGCGCTGCGACTTCTGCTACGAGGGGAGCGCGACCTCGACGATCGGCGTGGTGAACGACTGCGGCTGCGTCGACGAGGAGAACGTGAGCGTGACCTAATTGAGCCAATTAAGAGGTTATATTCAAATTCGCTTTCTACTATGTGGAATATATAGTGCGATGGTGGAATATATTGTACTGACTGAAATACAGAATAAAATCTGTGACCACGAAAGTGTAACAAATAAAGAAGTTTCCCACCATCGCACAAATCCCAATGAATCTTCACAACTACTCTTTTAATCAACAACAGACCAAGAATGTGCAGCCTGCAGTGGATAAAAATGTACGGGAAACGCTGCGACTTTTAGATGAACAGCCGCCGGCCGGCATTGGTACGGATTCGGCAAATATCAGCGACATATATCTGCTGGATTAGACTATAACCCGCTGGTTGTTCTGCTCTGCTACTGCACAGACGACTGCACTTCTGGTCACTGTACTGCTACTGCTGATGCATTGTTGTTCACTGCTTCGACAGCATTTCAGCTAGAAGCCGACCGCTGCGGCTACGACTGCAAACTCAGCTACGGCCGACCTGCGACAAGCACAGTTCAACGTTTGCAAGAATAATGAGCAAAATTAAGATCTGGCGAAAAAAGTCACGCAAGTGTCGCAAATCATGCAGCTGATGCAAGTTTACCCAAAACTTGTACTATTATGCAGCAGTCGCAAATCCTACCACATTTTGAAGAATGTTTAATCATACTTCAAGCAAAAAGGGAATAATATTCTAAAGTAAGTAGACTTCCATTTTTGAGGACAAGCGCTGGTTTAAATGCTAAAATGGTTTAACTTGCGATACAAGCAAATGGTCTAAAACAGACTCGTTTTGAAAACAGTAGTGGGCTAAATTTTTGCAATGTTCATTTTTGACAGAAATGTATCGTTGGCACATGAGGTTATGGCTCCCTGCCCTTATCCGGCTTTCGCGCAGTCATTTAAGGTGGATGCATAGAGTTAGTTTGATGCGAGCACCTTAAATGTCTGTTAGTGTGTTGGATACGTTTAAGGTTTGTCCAGAACACGTTTCAGACAAGCTAAAAGCTCGCTCTCTGTTTTCAATGATTGATAAGGTTGCATAGATCTAGGAGCAAAAAAAGCGTACCTGAAAATGTGTTGCGAACCAAACGTACCTCTCAAACTCGCGTTAAAGTGACTATACTTAGCTCAGGTTTAAAAGCATCATCGCTGTAACTTCTCTATGCGCCAGCAGTGTAATCTCTCGCAAATTCACTTGGAGCATAGCCAAATCTAAGTTTAGATCTCCCCTTTTATAAAACCCTACAAGGATTTTATAAAACAAACGATGTTTACCATACTTTGAACATGACTAAGTGGATACTTCCCGCGAAAATTCTGAACCAAAACTGCAGTCATAAGAAGATGCAGTGCTAAGAAAAGGCCAAATGACATCAATTTTTCCTTCTTTGGCATTATTTCTTCCTCTATGAAAAAGCAAAAGCATCTATAAATCTATAAGACTAACGCGGGTGATTCCTTACTGACCATAAAAAGCAACAATCACCTGCCACGACGCGTATATGCGCCTCTCTCATCTATAGGTCTTTCGTATCGTGCCATAGCAACACGGATTTCACGACCCTCAACCCAACGTCCGTCCGTTCGATCCATAGCATATTCAGCATCACGGCGGCTGAAAGTGAAATGTAAACCCAATAAGTGTCAAAATGACAGGTAATAAAGCATTTTCTATTCTCCCGATACGATCGCATGCGAAGCACTAAATCCAACTTTGATTAGTCAAAAAACCAAAGTGCACTCTCCCATGTATCAAATCAAAGTAGAAAAAAAGCACATCTACTCTTATAGAGTGTATAGGGCGACATAAGCCGAATATTGTTCCGAAAACCTTATGAACAACCTTTGCAAAATGGAAAAGTTGTATCAGCACCCTTTTTTGCAGCGAATCCTCTAATGGATATTCTATGCCAACCAGCTTTTGCGCGAATAGCACTTATAATCAAACGTTGATATACAGACTTATGAACTGAGACACATCGAATTCAACATAAAAACCAATCATTTCGCCCATAGTCAAACCAATATAATAGCAAGCTACTGAATAAACAAATATCTGTTTGCACAGTAAGCAAAGCATCACTAACTACTCCAAAAAATAAATCGTGTTTTTCAAAGCTGTTGTTCCTGACATGGACTCGGCGCGTTCCTATTATGGTTAATTTGAACTGGAAAAACGCTCACCTATAAAAGCGAACAAAACCGAATCCTTTGCTTTGGCGGGTATATTTGTCCCTTGGGATATGAATGTCCCCAATTTCTCCATATTTGTCAAACATTCTTCGCAAATCCGCCTGTGTTGTGTTATAGGAAATGTTGTCAACCTAAATGATACATTGCACCTTCGGTATTGTTGTAATAAAGTAAAAATAACAAACCTTCAAGGAATAAAGTCCATCAATGGGTGGAGGAGCGCGTCGAGACATATTCTGAAAAAAATGCTTATGAAGGATTACTTGATGTATTGGAGAATTGTAAATATAGACGAACTGAAGAAGGATGAATGTGGAAGAAAGAAAGAGATGAGAGAACTGTGAAACGGAAAAGAAACACGACACCACCAATTTTGACGAAAGCAAGAACACAAATGCAGGAAACCGCGTGCGTGGACGAGTAGATGCGCGACTACATCTCGTACGCGATTTCGCGCAAGATTTCGCCTCCGCCATCAGTGTTTTGCAAAGAGGTCCAAATTCCATAATTTAAACAATATTTTGCTGTTTTGAGTGTATTATGTTAAAAAGTGACATAAGACATAACGGCTACTCTCAGATTTGTAAACTAGGGCTATTTCGGTATGGGTCTTTTACGTCTCATTTACATTTCAAAGACAATATTTTTACTTGGATATTAGAAATCTTTGGCATTACCTAAAGGAGTTTTCTGCTAACACCAAATATAAGATGAGAAAGCTCATATACGACTTGAGTAGATACGCTGGA